TCGGATTTTTTTTTGCGAATTCGTCTGAATCCTGAGAAATCTTTGGGGGAAGGGGGCGCTTTGGGGGCCTTATTGGGGTCTTTCTGGGCCACTCTTAGGGCCCTCTTGGGGCCTTCTTGGAGCCCTCCTGGGGCCTTTATTGACCTTGCTTGGCGCCCAAATCAGCCCTAGAAGGGCCAACTTTCGAGGGCTGCAGGGGGGCCGAGCAGAGTGACGTCCTATGGGGGCTCAGATTGGACCTCGCCTTCCCTGTGGGGGGGGGCTGCGATCTGCGAAACTGTCGCCACTTTCGAGGGGTGCTGGTGGGTCCAGTGGATTGGCGTCCTGCAAGATGCCTTGGAAGTGCCCGAAACGGCCGCAAGAGGGAAAAGCAACCGACAAATATATTTTTTCGAAAGAGGCCAGAAAAAACAACCGAAAAATATTTTATGTTCGGAAGGGGGCGCTTTGGGGGCCTTCTTGGGGCCTCTCCGGGCCACTCTTAGGGCCCTCGTGGGGCCTTCTTGGAGCCCTCCTGGTGCCCTTAATGATTTTTCGTGGCGCCCAAGTAAGCCCTAGAAGGGCCATCTTTCGAGGGACGCAGGGGGGCCCAGCAGAGTGACGTCCTATGGGGGCTCAGATTGGACCTCGCCATCCTTGGGTGGGGGCTGCGATCTGCGAAACTGTCGCCACTTTCGAGGGGTGCTGGTAGGTCCAGTGGACTGGCGTCCTACAAGGGGCCCTAAAAGAGCCCGAAACGGCCGCAAGAGGGAAAACCAACCGACAAATATTTTATTGTTCGGAAGGGGGCGGGAAGAACAACCGACACATATTTTATGTTTCGGAAAGGGGGCGCTTTGGGTGCCTTCTTGGGGTCTCTCTGGGCCACTCTTAGGGCCCTCTTGGGGCTTTCTTGGAGCCCTCCTGGGGCCCTCATTGATTTTTCTCGGCGCCCAAATAGGCCTTAGAAGGGCCAACGTTCGAGGGCTGCATGGGGGCCCAGTGGGGTGACTTCCTACAGGGACTCATATTGGACCTCGCCATCCATGGAGGGGGGCTGCAATCTGCGAAATTGTCGCCACTTTCGAGGGGTGCTGGTGGGTCTAGTGGAGTGGCGTCCTACAAGGGGCCTTAAAAGAGCCCGAAACGGCCGCAAGAGGGAAAAGCAACCGACACATATTTTATTGCTCGGAAAGGGGGCGGGAAAAACAACCGACACATATTTTATGTTTCGGAAAGGGGGCGCTGTGGGTGCCTTCTTGGGGTCTCTCTGGGCCACTCTTAGGGCCCTCTTGGGGCCTTCGACGACGAACGGAAGAGCGTCCCCCACACGCCGACAGGGTCGGCGGATTTCATCCTAGCCGCGGCAATGAGAAGGCAAATGGGCAAGGAGGTCGGACCCTACACCACCCGCGCCGCGCGCATTGCGTTCCAGGGGTGGATCGATACGGCCAACGCCGACCGTGCCACGAAGGACCTGCCCCGAATCGAGATCCCGCCACTTGAGGTCTTCCAGGACAAGGACGAGGTCCAGATCAACAGCCTCGCGGCGCTACTCGGCCATTCGGTCCACGTGCGGGACGAGTTCCTGAAGCGTTGCGTCTTCGACCGCACGTGTTACCTCAAGCAGGGGGACAGATATGGCGAGTGGGACCTGTCCAGTGTGGTCGGGATGCGCGCCAAGATGAAGCGTCTCTCCAGCAGTTCGATGGACCTTGGCGGGGAGATGCTCTTCAAGACACGTATCGGCTTCACGGGCACGCCGAACGAGATCCTACCGGCAGCATTCGAGTACGTTCCGCCGAACGAGACCCGACCGCGCAGATGCTACTACGTGCCTTTCTGTGACGCCGAGATCATGCAGAAGCTGACCTCGCCCGACCTGGTGTTTGTGGAGACTGGGAACAAGGTCTTCGATGTCGAATCGCTCCTGGATTACGTGACGAGCGGGGCTGTGGAGAACAAGTTTTTCGCCCTCATCGACACGGGCGCGCTCGTCACAGGCCTCACGAACCAGGAGGTGGCCGCTCAGCTCATGCAGAAGGGCTGCAAGGCTGGCTGGCCCTACAAGGGGGTGGTGTACCTCGACCCGAAGGACGACGACGACGACGACGATCGACGACGACGACGACGGTCGACGACGACGACGACGACGACGACGACGACGACGACGAGACGACGATCGACGACGACGACGACGACGACGACGCTCGACGACGCTCGACGACGAAGACGACGACGACGACGACGACGAGGACGAGAAGTGCGTCCTCATGGCCGACGGCCGCAAGCACGTGCCCCTCAAGGACAGCGGCTTGAAGCCGATCGAGCGCTTCACCTTCTTCGACCAGGTTCACTGCACGGGCATGGACATCCCGCAGGCGCCCAACGCCAGGGCCGTCGCCACACTGGGCAAGGGCATGACACTGCGGGACCACGCCCAGGCTTGCTGGCGCATGCGCCGCTTCGGTGATGGCCAGAGCATCCGCATCATCATGTTCCCCGAGGTTGAAAAGCAGGTGGACGAGATCGCAGCGGTGCTCTTGGGGGGGGCAGAGCCTGCTGCGGCCGCGCGCGAGCGCCAGAAGGAGCGGCTGCGCGACGTGATGGCCTGGCTCCTGGAAGGGCAGCTGCAGAGCGAAGCTCTGCAGCGCAGCACCCTCGTGATGCAGCAGCTGCGCGACTGCTGGCGCATCACCTCCTTCGAGACGATGCTGGGGACCTGTGCTCCCCCGCCGTTCGACAAGGGCGAGCGGGTAAAGGTTACGTTGAGGCCGCCTGAGGAGAACGATGCCGGGCCTGAGCGCAAGGGCAATGTCGCGAAGGAGGGCACGGTGGCGGAGACGGACAAGTGGCAGGAGGACGGGGAGGTGGAGGTGAAAGTGGACAGCGAGCAGATGACCCACCGTATTAAAATCAGTGACATCGCGCCATTTCCGACAAAGAGCGCTATGCGGCTTCGCTTCTACGCGCCAGAGTACCCCGCGAATGCCGCCGAGGCCAGGGACTTGCGCCTCCGCGTCGAGAGGCTCGAGCAAGAGGTGGCGAAGGTCGTTGGTGCAAAAATCCTGCACGCTGTCGCCAAGCAGGACGAGGCAGAGGATGCGGAAGCGACGGAGGAGAAACTGAAGGCCCTGGAGCAGGTCAGAAGTAAGCTGGACGAGATCAAGGCCAATCTTTTATTGAATCGCTTCGCTCATTCCGCCGGCCCGTGATATTGCATCGCTGGTTTTTGTCTGTGTGTTCGTTGCCCATGTTGCGCTCTTGGGGGCGGGTGTCGTTCGGACGCGTTGCGTGGGGAGTTTTGATGGTGAAGCAGTTCCCTGGGGGTCGTCTCTCGATGGGGCGAAATAGAGTCGTCGTCAAGATGCTTCTTTGGGGGGCCTCTTGGGGTCTGTTGAGAGGCCGTTCGGGGGCGCCTGGGAGACATGTTTGAAGCCTTCTGGGGCTTCTTTTGGGCCTCCTGGGAGTCTCCTGGGGCCTCTTGGCGACATCTTGGGGCCTCTTGGAGGCCTCTTGGGGCCTCTTTGGGACCTCCTGGGCGCCTTCTGGGACGGAGGGCTCCATTTTTGAGTTCTCGGTATCCCTCCTGAGTCCCTCTTGGGCCCGTCTTGGGGCCTCTTGGTCCGTCTTGGGCGGCACTTGGGCCGTCTTGAGGGCTCTCTTGGGTCGTTTCGGCGCCGTCTTGGGAGCTTCGTGGGCCGTCTTGGAGCGGTCTTGGGGGCCTCTTGGGCCGTCTTGGAGCGTCCGGAAGCCGAAAAAGCCAGAACACAAAAAACATAGAAAAAACCAATGAAAATCAACGATTTTGGCCTCTTGGGGCTCTCTTCGGAGGCCTCTTGGAAGGCTCTTGGGGCGTCTTGGAGGCCTCTTGGGCTGTCTTGGGGGCCTTTTGGGCCGTCTTGGGGTCATCTTCGGCGTCTTCGAGCGCTCTTTGGGCGTCTCGGGGGCCTCTTGGGCAGTCTTGGGGGCCTCTTGGGGCACTCTGAGCGCGCTCTGGGGAGCCTGAGAGGCCGCACCCAGAAGGAAAACCATCTCTGAGTAGACTTCGGGCGGCGGTCGGGCGGCGGTCGGGCGGCGACCGGGCGTTGGTCGGGGTACTTTTCGCCGGGGGACCCCCAGGGGCCGCCCCGCGCGCGCGAACTAGAAATACTGTTAATACTGTTAACCAGTTACCGGAGATCTTAGCACGCCCTGGCCCGTTGGGCCGGCGAATTCGGCAGAATTGCGAGCCACCCACGAAAGGCGGAGGAGAGCTCCGTCGCCATGCTGGAGGCATTGGTCACTGCGGACCAGCTGGACCGTGATTACATGGCGAGACATTTCTATGATCTCTATCAATTCACGCTACGCTCTAAGATGAACTTGGAAAAGCTCATTTTGAGGCAACGCCAGCAGGCGGTTGACCAGTTCTGCTGGTGTTACATGTTCGGCTGGGAGAAGAAGACGGCTTCTGGAGGCTACCAGTATGTTCCGGCCAAAGAAAAGACCGGGTTTGTGTTCGGGACCCGCAAGAACGACGACGAGGGCCCAGACAGCTCGGAGAAGTTGATCAAGGATTCAGAGAGCGAAGAGGAGTCAAGCGCCTCCACCATGCCCGTAAGAAGGGCTTCGGATAGAGTCTCGAAACAAGTGCTGGGTGCCAAGGGCGGCAAGGACATGGACGGTGGTCCTCGGGCGGATGCTGTGGACGAGGCGGGGGATGTGGTTGTCGGCTTGCGAGTTCGCGTGACGACAGACGCGAAAAAGTACAAGGAGGAGTGTGATCAGTCTGAGCTGGCCACCGACAGCGCGGCCGGGAAACAAAACAGGGGCCGGGTTGGCACGATCGAGAAGGTGAAGTTGAGCAATGGGATTGTGAAAGTCTCTGGTATGCAGTGGGTGCCCATCAGGGCGTTGGCAGGTTTCGAGAATTGGACGAAGGGCGACGTCAGGGAACGCAGGCGGGCACTCCAAGAGCTGGACAAGTCGGGGGCTGACGCGGACACTGGCTTGGACACGTAGACGTTTTCGTCGAGGACATGAGCCAGTTGAAGATACGGGAGGACCTCAGCGTGAAGGCCGACACGCTGGGGGACCGGCTCGTCCGGCTGGAGGGCGAGCACAGCAGCCTGCGGATACCAGAGAAGTACGCGTCCGAGGTTGTCCGCCTGAAGGAGGAGACCGCACAGAGCCCCACCGAGAAAAAGGGGGAGGAAACGCCCGAGGCCGAGGGCGAGGACGGTGGCCTGGACTCCGAGATGTGCCAGGAGCAAGAACAGGAGCAGGAGCAGGAGGCGCCGCCGTGTAAGCTGGAACCCAAATTCTCCTACTCGGACCTGCCGAATCAGAGGCAGTGGGACGCCACAAACCTGCAACAGTTCGTCAGAAATGGGAAGGATACTTTCCAGTTAGCCATCTGGAAGCCGCAGAAGGGGGAGGATGCCCTACGGTTGCCCGCGGACCTCCGGATGACCACCAACTACGCCACCAGGGGGGTGCCGCCCGACGGGTCCAAGACGAAGAAGAGGCGCCTGCCCAACGCCTCCGTGCTCCTGTATGTGCGCAACGGCGCCAACAATGCGTGGGTCCTCATGACCCTAGCCGAGGCCGAGAGCACCCGCCGCCTGCTGGACCTCGACCCCTCGAGTAGGGCCCATGCCGGCCTGATCTCTTCGCTTGGACACTGGCTCACCCTGTGGCCTGAGGGCGCCGCGGACCCAGGCTTCGTCGGGAAGTCGGTGTCCCACGACCTCCCGCCGGTCGACCGCACGTCGTCGGAGCAGGAGGCCGCGGCCTGGGCACCGCTGGCGCTCACGCGTTTCTTCAACGCGGAGTCGAACTTCAGCAGTCGCCAGATCATCTCAATCCTGAAGTGCTTAGAGGGGACCAGCTTCGAGCAGCGCTCCAAGTGGCTGACGGCGGTCGCGGACGGCCGATGGCGCGAGATCCCGGACATCACCAAGGAGATTTCGGTGAAACAGGTACTGTACCGCCGCCCCAAGGAGGGCCCAGCCGAGATGCAGCAGACGCACGAAGTCATGATCAGGCTGCGGAAAGCGGTTGCAAAATACTACCCTCATGAAAAAGATAGCAATGGTGTCTTGAAGGCGATTGTTCAGCAGTTCGACAAGAGAAAACCTAAGAATGGAAAGCTAGACCGCGTCGAGCTGGAGAAGTTTGTCAAGGAGATGGACGACTTCAGCGGTCTGCGCGGCCAGCTAATGGATAAGTTTGATTCAATTTATCCAGCTGCCTGCGGCAAGTCCCACTTTCGCGCCATCCCAGCGCCCTGGGTGGTCACTGTTCAAGGGACTGGCGGGAGGCAGTAACGTGTGGCACCTCGTGATCCCAGGCTTGAGAGAGCCGTGACATGTGACAGGCTGCTATCCTCGTCTTCGTCGTCTTCCTCCCTTTTTCTTCTTCTGTCCTCCTTCTTCTGCCCATCCTCCAATTCAAGGGGGCCTCTTGATGGCCTCATGGGGCCTCCTGACGGCATCCTGGGGGCTTGTTAGGGGCCTTGTCAAACCCCGAGCTGTATCGTGGGGTCCTCCGGACCCTCTAGAGAAAGTGAGAGGGATAGCTTGTTCTCTTCTCGCGGGTCCCCACCGCGATGTCTCCAAACTAGCTAGTGCCCAAACGGCAGCGGAGTGAGGCAAGAAGCACTGAATCAACACTCCCACAACTTAAAAGTTGCCTCAACTCCGACTTTGGGCTAAGCTTTGACTGAACGCCTTCGCATCACACAGAATATTCCTCCAGCACGGCGCACGGGAGGCGAAAGCCACTCAGATGTCGGTCATTTAGTGGAGCCGGTCCTCCGAGGCCGACGCCCTCGACGTAGGAGCCCCCAAACGGCTCGAAGCCGCCGCTCTCGACGATGCAGGCATCCAGCTCCCCATGGACATATCATCACCGGCAACGGAGCCTTCCTCCACAGCGACGATTGGGGCCTGATCGAACACACCGGTCGTCTCCGGATCGTTCTCGTCCAGCATCTCTGGCTGCAGGCCACACTCCTCGACCAAGAACCGAACGATCTTGTCGCGCCAGAGGGGAAAGTCTGCCATGTGCTCGCACACCGATACTCCGACGTCGCCAATCCCGCTGTGAAACTCCGACTCCCTGGGCAGGCGGAGCGTCCGAGACGGACGGCAGCTGCGCTGCGTCCCGCCAGCTCTTGAGCTGGGAGGGCCGTCCTGGCTCTCCGAGTAGCCCGCCGAGAACTCGTCCCAGGCTGGGAGGCGGAAGGAGTTCACCACGATCGATCCCCCAGGCGGGGCCGGCGGCACCTGGTCGTTCTTCAGCGCCATGTGGTAGAGGCTCTCGAGCACCTTCAGGCGGTCGCGCATGCCGTCCTCGAGCGCGGCAGGCGAGTGCAACGTGATGTACCCCGTGCTGGCGGGGTACACCAGCGTGATCTGCGAGACGCTCTGCTTGCCCTTCAGGCGGTCGTCCAGGACCCCCGCGCGCGCGGATCTGCACCTTGACCTTGTTGCTGGAGCCCTCGATGTTGCCCTCGCCGGCCTCCGTCAGGCCCTCCAAGAAACTCCTCGCGCCATTCGCCGAGTTCTTCGCCTCGATCTTCACCATCTGCTCGCAAGCTCTTCGCGGGCTGTGGGGCAGCGAACTGTTTCCGCAAGGCGCGCTCCGCCGATGCTTGAGCCAAGACACTGCCCTCATCGGCGAGCTGGTAGGTCCCGTGGCGACCGCAGCTCCGGAGGAGATCGGCGGGCTCCGCCTTATCCTTCGTGAGACAGTCCGCCAGCATCAGAGAAGTGGGACCCCAACGCAACACAGCCCCGAGACGTGCCAGGCTCTCCACACTTATTGCAATATCTACTGCACACCTCTTATCGTCGATCCCAGACGGGCTCCCCATCTTGCACACATTGTCGTAGATACTCTTGCAGCCGATGACCGCTAGACTCTTAAACTTACTTAGATAACGAGCCCGATCTCCAAGAGTGAAGCCTCGAAAGAACCCCATGGCGAAGAAGCACATGACCCACTCCAAGTGCCCGAGACCGTCGGTCATCACTGACGACTCCCCCGCCAAGGTAGACTTGACCACCCGCTTCACCCGATAACTCCTCCAGATCAATGGGCTCCACGGGGAAACCCTGCCTAGCTCCATGTCCCTGTTAGTCACCCCGATGATGTAGCCCCCCTGCGTGTGGCCCATGTTGGACATGTCTTTCGACGAGTAGTCTGAGTGGAGGATGAAGGTGAGCTCGGCGATGGGGATCGAGGGATATCGGATCTCGAGGTCCGCAAACTTCTAAGCACGACGAGCCAACATATTTCCTTTCCTGATATCACCGACAGGTTCGAACTCACAGGGATGCTGAGGTCTGGGCGGGTCTGAGTCGCCAGCCAGTTCCCCCGCTGGTTGAGGGAGATGAAATCTTTTATCTCTGACGGGACCGCCAGAGCATCAGCGCTTGCATGTCGGCGGGTCGACACCCGCTCCGTCTCCTCAGACGCGTACTGGTACTGCGTCTGCACGATGGTGTAGTCTGGGAGCTGGCGCAGCCGGGACCCGACGAACTCGGCCTCCTTCTCGTGCCACTTGCGGTAGGGGAAACGGCGCCTCAGCTGTGACAGAGCCTCGGCCCATTGAGATCCACGTCCTCCGAACACGCCGTCATCCATGTGCTGGCCGATGACCCCGCGCAGGTCGCCAGGCCGGGCCGCTCGAAGAGGCTCTGGTCCCTGGCCGTCGATGACGCGGTAGTCGTCCAGGTCGAACTCCACGGACTCGCCGACGTCTTCGAACAGCAGCAGCACGCACGGGTTCATGGGATGCTGCACGAAGCCCAGCTCCTCGATCAGGAACTTGCTGAAGGTCAGCCACCACAGCTGAGGCTGGTCGCTCCTGCCGCAGCCGTTGATAACCTCGCAGAGCTGATCCCCGCGCATCCCGTCCGGCAGGAACTCCGACGGCAACGAAACGCAGATCGCGCCGTGCTCCGCCGGCGCCAGCAACGCGTCCGCCTCGAGGAAGGCCCCCGCCACGTCCCCGATGGCCAGGGGAAACTTGGCCGAGGCGATGGTCTGGAGGACAGCGTCGGGGCCTGAGTGCGGCCCGCCTTCGCCAACTCCAGGAGATCAGGGTCCTTGAACCCCTGGATGGTCATCCTACACTTGACTGCCACGTTGCCCTCCTCGCCCTCCTTCTCCGTCAAAACCGGTCGGGGCTCCATGATGCGATCAGGCTGGGTAGACCGCACTCTCCTCGACTCCTCAAGCGGAAGGGGGCGCCAAGCCTGGGTCTTCTCGATCAGCTTGCTATACTCCTTGGCGTAGCCCTGCGCGATTTGGCCAGCCCGTCCTTAGAGCACCAGCGCGGTTCTCGCCTGTCAAGCTCTCGCCTGCCTCTGGCCAGCAAGACCTCCTTCGTGTCCACCGCCAGGATCTCGTCATCATCGTCGCTGTCTGGCGAAGCTGCGACAGCCAGAACGGACTGCACGCGCTGCTGCTTGGATCGCCCAGGCCGGCGAGCCGACAGGCTTCGCTTCGGGGCGGCACTCGCCCTCGGGGCCTGGGGCCCCAGGCCCACGCTGCCAGGAGGCGCCGGCACCTCGCCTTCGACGCGCGGGCGCTTCACCTCCTCCACCGACGTCTTGCACCGCAGACGCTTCCGAACCTCCGCCGGCTCGGAGTCGCCAGAGGCTCCAGCGGGCCCAGCACTGCCTTGATCGCCCTCTGTCCCGTCGTTAGGCCAGTCGCCCGGCTCGTCCTCGGGGACCGGAATCTCGGCGGAGTCGGCAGCAGGCGGCTCGGCTCCAGCTGGTGGTGGGACCTCGGGCTGTGGTGAGGCCTCAGGTGGTGCCGGCCGCGCGTCGCCCCCTGCAGTCTCCGGGATGAACTCCTCCTCCTCGGCGGCCTCCGGCGGCCGAGCGTCCTCGGTGATGTCCGAGTAGAACTTCGCCTTCATGTCGTCCAGGTCGACGGTGTGAGTCCGCAGCGACGACTCCACTAAGCGCCAGGCTGCCCTCTCCTCCGAGTTAGCCGGACGCAACTGCTCCGGAGAGGCCTTCAGCACGCTGCCCGGCACGGCAATCCAGTAGTTGCCGCGGACCGCGCCAATGCACACGCCAGGCCTCCAGCGATAGTGGGCTCGTCGCCCAGCCACCTTCTTCACGTTGCGCCAGACCACCACCATGTCACCAGGCTGGTACACCACGAGCTTGCGGGGCCGCGCGTCCAGGGCCAGGCGGGTCGCCTGCTTGTCGTTGTAGTTCAGGACCTGACGCCGGGCCACCGCACGGACTCGAGCAGCGAACACTGCCGGCGGGTCGTGCAGGACCGCGCTGTTCGCCACGATGTCCGGCGAGTCCACCAACAAGTCCTCGGGCACCTCAGGGTTCCGCCCGAAGACGATCTGGGCTGGGCTGACCCCTCCGACGCTCAGGAGGGAGTTCTTGACCTCCTGCACCTGCGCCACCCACTCGCGCCACTCCCCGCGGTCCTGCGGCTGGACCTCGGCGATCACGGCGCGCAGCATCTGGGCGAACCACTGCCCATGTCGCTCCACCTTCCCGTTCTGCTCCTTGGCGCTGCCCGCCGTGTCCAGGATCGTGGTCCCGTCCCGCTCCATCGCGCTCGTGAAGACCTTGGACACGTGGGGCTTCCCCGGGTCGAGGCGGATCCACTTCGGGCGCAGGTGGGGCCGAGTCCAGTTGTCTCGGTGCAGGCGCAGCATGTCAGCGGCCACCTCGTCATCGCCCTCATCGAACGGTGTCATGGACTGCAGCGACGACGTTTTGCAAACGATGTTGACTGCCTTGACGATCTCATCGGGCATCCAGCCTGGGAGCTCCTTCACGTCCATGCCGATGGACCTCAGAGGGGGCTGCGCAATGTCTGGAGCAGCTGGGCGCACCGATTTCGGATCTGCCTTGACGTCGCACTCCGGGCAGCGGAACTCCGCGGCCATCTTCAGGGCAGCCTCGGTCGCATTCGCATGACGTAGATGTCTCATCATGGTTGGCACCGGGGCGTGGCCGAGATTGACATGTAGACGTCGCAAGCCTGCCTCGATGATCTGCGGCCTGCCGTGGCACAGGTCGTCCAGGGTGAGGCGCTCCTTGCCCTCGATGCCCGCCTCCTCGTCATCCTCCTGGTCGTCGACCCCCAGGGCCTCCGCCTCGTGGACAGCCGTCTGGCGGACTTGGTTCTGGGTCTGCATTCTGGCACGGTAGGCGCCTCGCACCAACGCCCTCGCCAGCTTGTCCGGGTAGATCTGGGACCAGACCGAGCGCTACATGCCGCCGGCGCTGTCCATCACGTCCTGGTGCTCGTGGCCGCCGCGGCACTGGCGGCCCACCTCCTCGGCCACCTCCGGAAGGTCCGAGGCAAAGCGCCAGACTTAGGCGAGTGGCACGCCTGACACCCGGTCTAGCTTGCCGAACCTACACGCCGCTGCCTCCGCGATGAAGGGGGAAAACTCCGTCAGAAAGTGAGTAATCTCCTTCAGGCCCCATGCCGAACTCCCTCGGGATTGCTCGAGTATAAAATGCTTCCCGCGCATCATCTGCCACTCCGCAATCACCAGGCACAAGACAATAAAAGAGACAGCCTCCTGACCTCTTGCTCAAACTTCTCAGGATCCTTGCGGTTGTTCTCGGACGTGAGGGCCTGCAACGGCG